TTTTTTAAAAATGCACATTTTAAAAAATGCACATTTTAAAGAATACACACCTAAAAGTACACATTTTAAAATGCACACTCTAAACCGCACGTTTTTAACAATACACACTTCAAAAAACACACATTTAAAACACAATTTTAAGGGGAAAACAACCACAAACTAACACACACAAGCTGCCTCAGGACTACAACGGCTCTGGAGGCGGGACGGGAATTTTGGCTGGAAAATTCTGTCAAATCCCATTTCTGTGGCAGCTTTGGGCACGAGCAAAGCCCCCATTTGTAATAAAAACAAGAACTGGGATGGACAGAGACAGAAAGTTCTGAATTTGGGTATAAAACACGATTTTAGACASAGCCAGGAGAGCTCGGCCTGCGCTGCGGAGCCAGGCCTGCTCCTGTGCGGAAATGGCGCCTGAGGGAAGGGAATGACAATGATGGGATTGTAACGTGATGGCCACGGGCTGGGGCCACCAGATTATCCACACTAGCCACTATAACGTGATGGCCACGGGCTGGGGCTGCTGGGGCCACCAGACCATCCACACTGGCCCCTATAATGTGATGGCCACAAGCTAGGGCTGCTGGACCGGCCCTTGGGGCTACCAGATCATCCATGGCACAGCATTATAATGTGATAGCCACATGAGCCAGGCCCTGCTGCTGGATCAGCCCTCTGGCCACCAGATTATCCACACTGGCCACTATAATGTGATGGCCACACAAGCTGGGGCCTGCTGCGGGACTGGCCCTGTGGCCACCAGATTATCCACATTGGGATTGTAATGTGATGGCCACGGGCTGGGGCTRCTGGACMGGCCCCTATGGCCACCRGATTATCCACAGTGGGCACTATAATGTGATGGCCAAACRGGGTGAGCCCTGCTGCCAGCCCAGCCACTGTGGCCACCAGATTATCAAAGGTGGGCGTTGTAAGGTGGTGGGGCCTGCTGCTGGACCAGCCCAGCCTCTGTGACCACCAGATTATCTGCACTGGCCATTATAATGTGATGGCCACACATCTGGGGCCCTGCTGCTGGACCAGCCCCAGTGGCCACCATATTATCCACGATGGGCATTGCAATGTGACGGCCACACGAGCTGGGCCCTGCTGCCAGCTGAGCCCCCATGGCCACCAGATTATCCACACTGGGCACTATAACGTGATGGCCATGAGCTGGGCCCTGCTGCTGGACTGGCCCCTCTGGCCACCAGATTATCCGCACTGGCCACTATAATGTGATGGCCACACATCTGAGACCCTGCTGCTGGACCAGCCCCAGTGGCCACCAGATTATCTACGCTGGCCATTACAATGTGATGGCCCCAAGCTGGGCCCTGCTGCTGGACCGATCACTGTGGCCACCAGATTATCCACACTGGGCATTGTAACGTGATGGGCACGGGCTGGGGCTGCTGCACCAGCCCCTGTGGCCACCAGATCATCTACACTGGCCACTATAATGTGATGGCCACATATCTGAGACCCTGCTGCTGGACCAGCCCAGCCCGTGGTCATCAGATCATCCACACTGGGCACTACAATGTGATGGCCAAACAGGGTGAGCCCTGCTGCCAGCCCAGCCCCAGTGGCCACCAGATTAACCACAGTGGCCACTGTAATGTGATGGCCAAACGGGGTGAGCCCTGCTGCCAGCCCAGCCTGTGGCCACCAGCCTCTCCAGCTAGCCCGGGCTCCACGCGCTGCGCTGCGGGACTTACGGCGGTTTGCGGGCCGGAGCCTCGGCGGCAGCGCGCAAGGGGAGGCTGCTCCAGAGGCACTCGGCTGCCATGCAGCTGCGGCAGCGTTTGGGATCAACGGGCACAGAGACCAGGCTGAGATGGGAGAGAGGGGAGAGAGTGGGAGAGAACGGGGACAGACAGGAAGGGACGAGAACGGGACGAGAACGGGACGAGAACGGGACGAGAACGGGACGAGAACGGGACGAGAACGGGACGAGAACGGGACGAGAACGGGACGA